ATTCAATCTTGCAATAACTCCATGAGTTTGTTGTGCTTCTTATTATATCCATAAGCATATGTGGCTCTTGCGATAACACCATAATGAAGGTTTTGTAGGTTTTGCAAAGCCATTTTGCCATTGTGATGGAGATAGAAGTCTGACTGCAAAGGCTTGAATGAAGGGGAAGTGGGAGAGTTGGAGAGAAACCAAACATAATTCAGGAAGTTTGGTGGTGAAGAAGAAAAGTAAACAGGGTAACAGAAACATAAGGATGGAAAAATTTTGCAGAGACATGAAGAGGAAGGTAGGTTGAAGAGGAAAGAGGGAGATGAGATGTGAAAGGGAGATGGTTGCGGATGTTGTTGGACCAAGCTCCTGGCAAGAGTCAGGTCTCTGTTGGGGAAACTACCTGGCCTGTGCTGGGGTCCATGATGTACACCACAGCTTCCCAGCTGGAGGGAGGTAGGAGCCATGGCCTAGTGAGGGAGACAGTCAGGGACATACACGACTCTGCAGTGCAGGTGAATTCTATGACAGAGTGATGATGGTAGTGGTGGGGCTTCACAGGGAGTTGTTGAACTGAGTTGTGAAGAATGAAGTTAGCCAGCGAAGAAGCAAAAGGAAAAGGATACAGACTTGAGAAGAAATTTAGTGCAAGACTGAGGGACTGGTTGGATGCAGAGGATGAGAGTGAGGATTTGAGCACGACTCCCAAGCTTCCTGCATGGGCAAAGCCAAAGATAATAACTTTTACCGAGTGCTTCTTTGGAGTCAGCCATTGGTTCTGTGCACCACAAGTGTTATCTCACGTAATTCTCACAAAGTTTCATACAATGCTTGCCATTTCACAGATGTGCAAGCTGAGGCCAGATAATTGGCCCTAGGTCTCACCACTAATAAGTGGAAGAGTAAGGATTTAAGCCCAGGTTATTCCAGAGATGGAGAGATGGGGGAGAAAAGCTGTTGTGGGGCCAGAGCCAGAATGGTGGTCCAGGTTGTATCAGCCCAGTAGGCATCAGGCTCTTCTGCAGAAAGTGGGGCACTGGGTTGCAGGAGATGGGAACTCCAGAAAGGGGGATTGGACAGGTGCAGAGTGAAAGGTAAGCAGCCCACAGATGTGTGGGGTGTAGGGTACTCCCGTGTTAGGGAGGCATGATCAGCCTCCAGTCTCTGGCAGACCTTAGCAGCCTGGGTGGGAGGAAAGGAATGGAGGAGAGGAAGGGTAGGGGAACAGAAGGTAGAGGAGGGGCAGCAGGTTTTGGTGGGCAGCTGTACAATGGTGAAGAGAGGAGGTACTTGTGTAGAAGATCAGCTGTGGGAGGTGGTGATACAGCGAGAGGTGTGAGAGCTTGGGAGTCACAGGACAGAGAAGATGGCACAGGAGGAGACTGGGGTGGAGGTGGGGGCATTGATGCTTAATTCAGAATACAGTGGCAGGCTTAGAGACCCCCTGAGCTTGACAAATTCTTCTCTTAACTCACTGCAGGGGAAGCGACTAGAGGGAAGAGGCCCTGAGGTCATCGGAAATAGAGGAAACCAGGCAAGGGATAAATATCTGCATAGTGAGAGAAGGACAGAAAGGAAATTACAAAATTACAGGATGGGAAAGCGAGAGAAAGGGGTGTTGGGAGACGAAAAGTGGAGGGAGGATGAAAGCAGAACTCCTGTCACCCAGGGCACGCCAGCACCCCATCCCCATCCCGGTGGACGCAGGACTGGGGAGAGCCAGCTGCAGCAGCCCGGCTGGGGGTAGAATGGGGGTGGAACCTGGGCCAGGCCAGGACCCCTGGGCTGGGGTCTGTTTCTTCATCTGTAGAATGGGGTTAACAACAGACAACAGGATGTCAAAATATTTTGAAAGCACGACCACAAGGGAAGGTGTTATTATAAAGGTCTATTGATTTAGCTACGATCATGTATACCCAGAGCCAGAGTAGACGCACGTCTGGGAATGGTCCGGTAATGCTCCCGCACAGTCCAAGTTCCTCTACCTGCCGATGTAACAACTTTGCGTCACTGCCCATCTTGCTATGAGGCTAGGAGCTGGGCGCCTGCGGCCGGATGGATGGCATTCAGCCCGGGCTAGGAGCGCGAGGCCTTTGGACCAGGTTAAACTGGCTCCTGTCTTCTCCCTCGCAGCTTCCAGCACTTCTTCTGCCGCAGCGGAGGACAGGCCCAGGCAGTTTATTGAGCTGAACCTGGGTCCCTGAGGGGACCTTGCTCCAACAAAATTCCCTGTCATCTCCTTCCGTATGGAACGAAAATCTCGTTCTGTGCCTCTGCCCAGCTCCGCCCCTCCCCCCGCCCCCTTAATGACATGGTCTGGTCGGGTCCTTGTCCCCACTCAGCGGCGCTTCCCCTTTTCCAAGAGTGAGGGTGGGGGAAAGGAGGAGGGAGAAGAAATAAGGGGAAGAAAAGTCGGCGGGGGTGGGGGGCGGAGAGGGGGAGAAAACGGGGAGGCAGGAGAGGGGGAAAGAAAGCCTGAGACAGAAATGAGAGAGACGGAGAGACCATCAGAGAGAACCGGAAAGATCGCGAAAGGCCAGCCAGAGGCACAGGCGCTCGCCACGGATTCGGTAACGATTCCTTCCCAAGGCGTTTTTGGGGCGCCTCCGCGGTGTCTGGCCCCGGGTTGCCCGGGACGCTCAGGGCTGCAGGGTGCGGTCGCCTCGCCTCCCCCGTCTCGTCGTCCCCTCCCCACCAAGCCCAAGGGGGCCGGAACGGCGTCGGCGCGCGGGGGCTTTTCGGAGCAGTGGAGTGGAAAATAGACTTTAACCCGCTTTGTGGCGGCAAGGGCGCCCGGAGCGCTCTCCCGGACCACGGCTCCCGGCGCTCAGGAGGGCCGCTGCCAAGACCCGGCCTGGAGTCCCCGCAGAGGTGCTCAGGGCGCGGACCCCCGGCCTCGGGGCGCCGGCAGGCCCAGCCCGGCTCTGGCCACGAGGATTGACCCCGCAGCGGCGAGCAAGCGGAACTCGCCGCGGTGCGCTGGCAGGGTCCGGGTCTCAGCCTCCCCAACACCGCCCAGCGCCCTCCTAGGCCTCGGCGCGGTGTTTTTCTGCGGCCCGGATAGGCCCGAGCGGAAAAGTTAGTGGGGTACGGGTTCTCATTGCCAACCGCTCGCTCTCCCCCGGGGAATTAGTGCTCGAAATGGAAACTGGACGGACCGGAGTCGTCCCCTGCTACGCGGCCGCGGGTGGAAGGTGAAGGTCGCGGGAGGTCAGGCTGCGCCGCATTCTCGGAACGCCCGGCTTGTCCTCTCGGGGACCGGCTCGGCCTGCTCAGCCAGCTCCAACTTAAGGCACAATGTCCCCAAGGCCCTGGCTTGGGCCGTCCCGCGAACGCCCGAGCCCCACGACCAGAGAAGACGAGGAAGGCAGGTCGCCGTGTTCTGAAGCTCGCCGTCCAGGTCTGCGCCCGCAGCTGCGCCGTGGCTGGGCAGAACCCAGCCCTGTGAACTGCGGCTTGAGCTGCGGGGTGACCGCTCCAGCGTTCTCCCGCGTTGCGCCTCGCCTGGCCCCTTGTGCAAAGAATGGGCGTTCCTTTTCCAGAGCTGTCCCCTATGAGACCCAGAAAACGCGACACTTCAGGAACAAGGCTGCGGCTTTAGACCGCGGCCCAGGAAATGGAACGTGGGTGAGCGGGAGGGTCGGAGGCCAGGGGAGCAGGGAGCTGGTGCTAGGGAGAACCTATTTGTTGGACCCCCGAACACCCGCCATCCGATCGAATCCAAGTTTTCTAAGAACTGAAACGACATCCCGGGACGAATGGGAGAGGGTTCAGCTGAGTTACACGCCAGGGAGGAGGGCTGGAGTTTCTCCCCAAGCCCGCCTCTTCGGACGCCTTCTGCTCCAGCGCGTGCTGAGACGGCTGCAGCGGCCGCCAGACTCAGCTAAAGGGTGGAGTCTAGAGGAGAAGCCCGAGGCGAGAGGTGGAAGAGGCCTAGATCGCCCCGCGACTGCTCCAGTCCGGCTTTTGCCTCCGACCGTGGGCTCCATCCCCACCCGCCGTCCCTCGCCCCGCCCCCCCCCCCCCCCCCCCCGCCCCCC